GTAGGACTAATAAATAAATAACACAATGATATGTTGTGTAACTTGTGTTAAGTTAAGTTACTAGTATGATATTAGTCTTGTATTCTTGTTACAAAAAAAGTAGAGTTAAGCTTAAGTATTTGGACTGGAGGCATAAGGTGATAAATTGATGATAGTCCAATGACCAAAGAAAATAATTTGTTTGAATTGTTTGTATAGTTATGGTTAAGAAAAGTAAGGAAAAACGGAAAAAGTAATCCAAAATAGGCAAATAGTAAAAGCAAAGGGGCCATTCAAGTTTGAATGGTCAAAAAGGAGGAGAGAGACTAATGACTATGTCTATTACAATTACAATTTACAATAAATGATTAAATTTTGTAATTGGGTGAAGAATTGCTGAATCAAAGAGAGAGAAACAGAAACTATTGAATACAGACTTTCTCCCTTTGACTGTCACCAAACCCCATAGCACAAGCTTCATCTTCTTCTTTCAAAACTCATTTTATAAGTCTTCTTCATTCTCTTCCTCTCTCCATTTTTTTTTTCTGGGTTTACTCTTATCTCATTTCCAGCAACCTGTTCTTCTTCTTCTCCATCTTCCCGCCTTTACTGGTATGTCATTTTGCTCTTATTTGTCTCTGTTTCATCTTCCTTGTTCTCTAGTAATTTATCTTTTTCTGGGTTCTTTAATTATCGATTTACATTTTTTTTTTGTCTGTTTTTCACTATATCTCTTTTAATTTGTGTCTCCTTTCAATAATTTCATCATCCGGAAGTTATTCTTTTACATGAATTATTATTTTGCAATTAGGGTTACCCTACTGAATTTGGGTGACTTTTTGTTTGCCGTCTGTTTTTTGAATAGCAAGTTGTTTTTTTTGCCTTTTTCTTAATTTCTGCCTTTTTCTAACATAATTTTGCGCAGATCTCTGTTTTTTCTTACAGAAGAGTTCTGAAAAAAAATTAAAAAAATACGAAGTTTCAAGTTTGTATCTTTTCTTGATGTAAATATTAGTGATTCGTTTAGTTTTTGTGATCTGGGAAAGTTTAATCATTCTTTGTCAAATTACAACAAAGACCCATTGCATCAATGCACTAAAGTTCTGGTTTTTATTACTCCCTATACTATAAAATATCCCCCCTCTTAATTATGCACTTAATTGTTTTATATGGTTAATAAACTTAAATGCGCATATTTTGAGGTGCTCTTTTGAAAAAATGTTCAATGGCTTGCTTAAAAATGGTACCTTTTGTTTAAAGATTTATCTTCCGGTGGATGTGGATCTTGTATTAACAGCTCTTAGGGCGCAAGTAATTAATTATTGATAATGTTAATTAGACAAAAGTTTTCTGCAAATCGAGGAAACTGACCCGGGTAATAAGTTGTTGATAATTTGAAGTTATCCTATGTTTATTTATCATCATGGTTGGAAGTTGCCAGGGCACTTCAGACTTTGTTTTTTCCATAGCAGTTGTTATATGTTCATTGATGGCTTAATGAGCAAGGGTCTTACCATTTCCTTGATATCTATTTTTTTGCAACAGATTGTTATTTGTTCTTGGATCCTTCTGGTTTTATTGTGTGCAAACGCTGGACGGTGTCTCCATCTTTCTGATTTAAATGGCTTCGGGGGGTATTCCTCCCACTTCCGGACTTAGAGAACCCGGTGGTATCGCTGGTGCTATTGATGGGATGAATGACATGAAAATTAGAGATGATAAGGTAATTATCTATTTTTGATCCCGTGTATCCTTCGCTTCTTTCAGTCGCTTGATTCTTATTTATGGGAATGCTTGCCTCGGTCTTTATAGGAAATGGAAACTGCTGTTGTTGATGGTAATGGTACAGAGACTGGTCATATAATTGTCACTACCATTGGTGGTCAAAATGGACAAGCTAAGCAGGTATTATGGGATTGCCATGTATACATTGTAGTTATTCTGTTGTAAAATATGTTCTCTTGTTTGAATTATGCCCTTGTGTTTTCAGACAGTGAGTTACATGGCTGAACGTATTGTCGGACAAGGATCCTTTGGAGTAGTGTTTCAGGTAAACTTGGCAATAACTGATTTTAAGCTTTCATCTTTTGTTTGCAAAGGCAAATAAGCAACATTCTTTTAGACTTGAAGCCACCCTGGATAACATTACTAATTTACTAATGTTGGGATGTCTAGGCAAGGTGCTTGGAGTCGGGTGAAACTGTGGCTATAAAGAAAGTCCTTCAGGACAAGAGATACAAAAATCGTGAGCTGCAAACAATGCGTCTTTTGGATCATCCCAATGTTACCTCTTTGAAGCATTGTTTCTTTTCCACAACTGGAAAGGATGAGCTCTATCTTAATCTGGTGCTTGAGTTTGTCCCTGAAACTGTTCACCGTGTCATCAGACACTACAACAAGATCAATCAGAGAATGCCATTGATATATGTAAAGCTGTACACGTACCAGGTATCTGTAGTCTGGGGTTTGATTTTAAAGTATATTAGGTACTTTAAGTGTATAGTTCTAACTATCGCTTTTACTGACACCAGATCTGTCGAGCATTGGCCTACCTTCATGGGACTATTGGAGTATGCCATAGAGACATTAAGCCTCAAAACCTACTGGTAATGGTCTTTGAAAGGTTTCCCATTTGAGTATTTTTAGATTTAATTCGCTGTAGAAATCAATTTTTTCAATTGTTAATCTCATATCATCTTTTTATTGATTCAGGTCAATCCGCATACACACCAATTAAAGATTTGCGACTTTGGAAGTGCTAAAGTCTTGGTTCGGCCTCGTTTTCCTGTTCTAACATCTTGTGTTATTAGTTGTCTCTGTCAGCTTCATTGCTGTTGATATTATCTTTTCTTTATTGGCTGTAACACCATATTTTTAATTTTAATGGCAGGTGAAAGGAGAGCCAAATATATCTTATATATGCTCCAGATACTATCGTGCACCAGAACTGATATTTGGAGCAACTGAGTACACAACAGCAATTGACATTTGGTCTGCTGGCTGTGTTCTTGCTGAGCTGCTGCTTGGACAAGTATGTTTTTGACTTTAATGGTTTTAGTTGAGTTCGTGAGACTATGTTGCTTCATACATCATAACCGTGGTCTATGTATGCTTGCTTTTGCAGCCTTTATTCCCTGGTGAGAGTGGAGTTGATCAGCTTGTGGAGATTATTAAGGTGATTGCCATAATCCTCAATCTTCTGTGATGAGTTTCCTTGATTCTTTATGTAAAAATGTTTGAAATTTTTTGATGTGATTGCCATCAAAATGCTCACCAATTAAGTAGGATTTCTGGCATTGCATATTGGATGGTTGTGGCTTGAATTTGCTTGCTAATAAGAGTAAATACAGAAAGATACTGGCATTTTTAATTCACTTGTGACTCTAAAACTTGCGTAATGATATATGCAATAGTAGGTTACATTGATACTGTCTCAAATTCAATTAGCAAGGTAGTAATAATGATTCCTTAAATTTAATCAGCACTCCCACTTTCTTTTGTGGTAGAACATGGGAGTGAGTGAGACGCTATAAATCAATGGGTGTCAAAATCATCAGTACATTCACTGGTTACTTTCCACTTGCACGCATTTAACAGGAAGTAGTTTAGTGCATACCTGAGTTGCATGCTTGTGCGAAGTAGCGAAAGCTGAAATTGGGCATGGAGTAAATGAAATTCAGAAGCTTATTGCTGAAATTTGTCTTAGTCTTTGCTCCCGGCTCTGGGGTTTTAACAAACCAATGTCTTGTTTTTCATCTTGGCTATACATGTTGATATTTAACTCTACTTTCTCTTCTTTTACCAATGTAGGTTTTGGGTACCCCAACAAGGGAAGAAATAAAATGTATGAATCCCAATTACACAGAATTTAAGTTCCCTCAAATTAAAGCTCACCCATGGCACAAGGTATGCATGGTCTTCTATCTGCTCTTCCTTCAACCTTTACCGTGTGACCTAGCTAATCTTGGCACTTGCTCTTTTAAAATTCAGATCTTCCACAAGCGCATGCCTCCTGAGGCTGTGGATCTTGTCTCAAGACTTTTGCAATATTCCCCGAACCTTCGATGCACAGCTGTGAGTATCCAAGTGCTTTTTTCTTCTATGATAGCATATGTTAGCCAAGTTAATGTCTGTTTTTAATCATAGCTTTCCATCAGTTTCACTAATCTGTGGTACGTTTTATTTTCTGTCTTAATGCAGTTGGATGCCCTGACTCATCCGTTCTTTGATGAGCTACGTGATCCAAATACTCGCTTGCCCAATGGACGGGCCCTACCCCCACTCTTCAATTTTAAGGCTCATGGTATAGTTACTTTGCAAGACCCCCTCCCCTTCCCCAAAAGTTTTTTTTTGCCTTTTTTTTTCTTCTCCCTTCCTTGGGTGCTTGCTTACGCATTCTTCTGCTATTGACCAGAACTAAAAGGAGTTCCAACAGAAACTTTGGTGAGGCTAATTCCAGATCATGCTAGAAAGCAATGTGCTTTTCTTGGATCATGATGTGGTACATGATCATGCTCAGAAGAGGTGCTTCATGGAGAACTATTTCAGCTGTTTTGAAGTAGATAAGCTATGCATATTCAAGGAAGGATCTTTGGAGGTTATATTATTTCTATTAACATTATGTTCTCTGCTAACATGCTGATTAAGTTCATAATATTGCCGTATTATGTCGTTGCTCATGGAAGCGCATTGTGAAGGTTCTGTTTATTGTACCCAGAACCTAATAGGCGATGAACCATTGTCTGTAGATGTAACTGTAGGTTGTAACTATGTATCGAATTAAATGATCATTTTATTCTTTCATATGGTTCACTTTGTTATGTGACTCCAAGTGAGGAAGAGAGACGCTGCGTTGCTGTAGCTGTTGTGCTTTACAAATTTTATTTTTATTATTGGTGCTACTCTAATGGGTGATGAAAAACCCTATTGCTCTTTTACTTTCCCTTTTTCTCACCCTCAGAAAATTATACGAGTACTTAAAATTTACCAGTGAATTAATCTGTGAAATTATTTAGGCTTGAAACAGAGCATCAAATGGAACTTGTGGCTGTATGTAGAGGCATTCCTTGCCATGCTGATAATGTTTTGTACTTTACTCGGTTAGCTGTAATCATATGGTTTGTCATATACGGGTTGTGTTTGTCTAAAATTACGGTTAGCTGGTTTTTGCGTTGGTGAACAACTGGATTATATGCTCAGAATGGAATTTACTTACAACTTTGGGATGTTTCAAATACATTTATACTGATAGATTTGCTACAATTCTATCAGGAATACTTTACTATACTGTTGAATAAAGTAAGAGAAATACATGGTTTTGGTTTTCTTCCAGGATGTTCTCATTTGAAGCTAAATTATCTATGATTTACTTATGTTCTGCAAGGGTAATGTGGCCTCCTTTGATTTGCGCTGAAGAGGGTTTGCTACCTTCTCAGTTGATTCTGATTTGGTTGCTAATGCTGGAAAGTCTGCTTAGTATGCCTTTCATATTGTTGAGAATCTATGAGAACGCACTTCCGTAATAATTATGAATTAGTTTTAAAATTTTACTGAGTTTGAGTTGGTTTTCAGTGGGTACATAAAGATATTGTTCATATCAATGTAATTGAGACGAGGAAAATTAATTAATATTTCAGAGATTAGTTATAGCTAGCTGATCACCGTCTTGTCAAAGATTAAGGCTTTTAGATTAATTTTGCAATTCTCTTGGAAGACAATCTTGTTTGTCAAGGAAGAAAGTGCTGCAGAAAAAAGTTATAAAGGCATTGTGATGTACTGTATAAATGTATAATGGTACTTTGAGGATAATATCAGTATAGAACCCAAAGAATCTGCAATTGCTGCTTTTGGTTTTGAAATGAGTAGAATGAAGAGAGGACCAATCCCAATTGACTTCCTTAAGCCACTTTGGTGCGGTCCTCCTGCAGATAGGCATACCGCGTATGTATATCCAAATCCAAATCCAAAATGATTTCTTCCTAGGTCTACCAAGAAGGCAATGTTATTTTCACCCAAGTACGTACTGCTCTTTGATCTTAGTTCTTGATGTCTGTGTCCTGTAGTTGACAGTTGTGTAGTATCTTACTTATGCATTGAGTTTAGATTTTATCATCTGAAACAAGTATACGACAACTATGTTACTCGGACACTTAATTCATCATTGTAAGAGAATTCACAAACTATGAAACAGAGTGAAAATCAAGAGTAGCATATGAGAAGAGGTAAGGAAGTGAAACATTTAGTTTGGTATGTTTAAAAATATGTATATTGTACGAGGTGAGAAGAATATATTCTAAGGAATCTAAACAGAGTGTGGCAATTGACAAGGAAATTCACCAATTGAGGCAAATGGAAGAAGGTTCTCCAAAGAAAAAGTAAAAAAGAAAAAAGTGTGGGTTAATTAAAATATTTACTGAAATAGTAAGCAGCTGTAAACCCAGAAATGGGAAGTTGTGGACCAGTACACTCACTTTCAACAAGAGAGGGTAATGGGAATGGCTTGGGGGTGGGTAATGGGGCAGAACATGGGAGCTCTTTTCTTTTTTTAAATCAAAATTGTCACAAATACCTTGTTAATTTGCTGAATTCTGCTTATTTATTTATTTTTGTATTCCTTAACCGTCGTCTCTGCAACATCTTCCACTCACTCTCAAAAGCAAGCATGCTTCTTCACAATTTAAAAGGTCGGTTTTTGTGGCTTTTTTTTATATTCATTCTTCCCACTAACCTTAATCTTAACCTTGTGTTTTTCTTCACAAACTAACTTACCCACATTTTTTGTTTCTATATATATACACTCATATACATACGCTGTATGTAGTAATAACATACATGCTTATATTTGGTGCTTCTCAGCCTTTCAGGTATTCTGTATCTTTTCTTCTTTTCACCCAATTACACTCTCCAACTTGCCTTCTTCTCTCTTTTTTAACAACCACGTCCTTACCAAAACTTTAGCCAATTTCCTTGTTTGTTTGTTGTTGTTGTTCTAACTGCATTTTACTCTGTTTTTTGATGGGGAAACTCCATCTGACATTTCTATTTCTACATACTCTTTTTGCCATCAATGCATGCCTTTTTCCTGCCTCCCAAGCTAGACACCATAGGCACACTTACAAACGACACATGCATGGACATTATATTTCTCCCCCTAATTCCGGAATTTCCCTGCCCCCTTCTTCTCAGCCTGATAACCCTGCAGCTGACCCTCCTGCCTACGCTCCTCGCGGAGTTTTTGATGTTAGGACTTTTGGAGCCATAGGGGATGGTGTTTCTGATGATACGGAGGCCTTTAAGGCAGCTTGGGATGCTGCTTGTAGTAGTGCTGATAATTCTGAGTCTACTGCATTACATGCTCCTAGTGGCCATACCTTCATGATTCAGTCTACCATCTTCTCTGGCCCTTGTCAAAGTGACGTTATTTTTCAGGTACTTTTTTTACTTTCTTTTCAACTTTAACGAAGATATTGTACTGCTTGCATCGTTCTCCTTTTCCTAATGTGGAAATATTTGCTTATTATGGTAAACAGATTGATGGGTCAGTTGTGCCACCGGATGGGCCCGAGCAATGGCCAAAGAATACTAGTAAGCATCAGTGGTTGGTGTTCTACAAAGTTGGAGGAATGTCACTCCAAGGGGGAGGCCGTATAGATGGAAGGGGAGGAAAATGGTGGGAGCTCCCCTGCAAGCCTCACAGGGTAAAATAACCACCCTTGCTCCATGTCATATATACTACTTTAGAACTAATCAACCAAACTTTTTAAAGTACTTATATTATTGTGTCTGTATTAGACATTAAACGTTACTCTTATACTTTTCTTTGGCTTTGACACACTGTTTCTTATTTCTTATAGGGACCTAATGGAACCACACTGCCTGGTCCTTGTGATAGTCCTATCGTAAGCATCTTATTTGTATCTTTTTAAGAAATTATAAGCACCGTATGATTGGAGGACTATATCTTTGTTGTTTGGAGCTTTACTATATTATCTTTTATATGATGCAGGCCATCAGATTCTTTGAGAGTTCCAACTTGACAGTCAAAGGACTCCAAATCCAAAACAGTCCACAATTCCACTTCAGATTTGATGTTTGCCACAATGTCCACATAGAGTCAATTCATATAACATCTCCGGCTTTAAGTCCTAACACTGATGGAATTCACATTGAAAATACCAACAATGTCCAGATTTATAATTCCTTCATTTCCAATGGTTAGTCAGTCTCTTAGCATAAGATATAGTTTTCCTCCATCTTTTCTTCATAATTGTAGAGTTGTCATACATGTTTTTCCTCTATGCAGGCGATGACTGTGTCTCAATTGGCTCTGGTTGCTTCGATGTAGACATCAGAAACATCACCTGTGGACATGGTCATGGAATCAGGTATGCTTGCCTCAACTATTAATCTCTTAGTTTACTTGCTGATATTAATAAGGATATTGTAAGAATATTTGTTCTTGGTTGGAATTAGTATTGGAAGCTTGGGGAACCACAATTCAAGGGCTTGTGTACACAATGTGACTGTCAGAGACTCGCTGATGAGAGAAACCAGCAATGGAGTGAGGATCAAGACTTGGCAAGGAGGCTCAGGCGCTGTCTCAGGGGTGACATTTGATAACATACGTATGGACTCTGTGAGGAACCCCATCATAATTGACCAGTACTATTGCTCCGGAAAAGGTTGCAACAACCAAACCACAGCTGTCTTAGTGACTGACATTGTTTATTCCAGTCTGAAGGGCACGTATGATGTTAGGAGCCCTCCTATGCACTTTGGTTGCAGTGACGCAGTCCCTTGCTCCAACATTACCTTGTCAGATATTGAGCTACTCCCAGCTGTTGGGGAAATGGTGTTGGACCCCTTCTGTTGGAATGCTTATGGAAGCTTAGAGTCGCTCACTATTCCTCCCGTATTCTGCTTGCAAGAGGGTATCCCGCCTCAACCTATCTTGGAAAGTAGTATTGATCATTGCTGAGTTGATCAGCATCTAGTATGCAATGTATATACATTTGTAGAAGAATTGATTTGGTGTGTCAATTGTGGTGCGGCCGAGTTTCTATTCAAGGAGAAGCATATTTAAGTCTTCTCCTGATGTAATAGTATTAGAGGTTTTCTAGTATGCAATTGTGAGGCTTTAATCTCACTTTTATGTTCTGTTCTTTGTATCATGCATTCATGCAATTGTATGTGTATGTTGTTCTAGTTTGATCATGTTATCAAAATAAAGCTTTTAAGCTTAAAGTGTTTTTTTTTTTTTTTTTTTTTTTTTTTTTGACAAGTTAAAGTAATTTTATATTGTCATCAAGTACTGATTTCTACATTGTCATCTTCTATTACACCTCTATTCTTATAAATTGTTGATTTCACAATTTTTAGTGGAAGATAAAGAACCGGTGTCCAGTGGTACGGATATTTTCACCTTTATTTAAGGTATACTAAAAAAATTTAAAAATAATTGCTAGACTTACCAATTTTAAAATTACATCCAAACAACGAAAATTCTTCCATTAGACTTTCTATTCAAATTACGCACATATTCTAAAAATACATTTACATTCAATATAATAGAAATAAACACAGTTAGAAAGCAACCTTAGCGGTGGATACACACTTAGGTAGTTAGGTGTGGGGTGTAGGGATGTCAATGGGGCGGGGCGGGGCGGATGTTGGCCTTCCCATCCCCATCCCCATCTAAAATTTTCATCCTCATCCCCATCTAAACTTTTCATCCTCATCCCCATCTCCATCCCCATTCCCGCGGTGGGTCTAAAATTCATCCCCATCCCCGCCCCGGCGGGTACAATTCCAAAACCATCCCCGCCCCAACCCCCACTTGGATATCCATCCCCACCTAAGACCCGCCTAATCCCCGCCTCCTAAACACACAATCCTTCATAATTAATAAAGATTGCAAAAAGAAAAAAATTATTGTCAATATTACACTCTTTTTTGTTTATAATATAATTGTATTACAAAGTATTATATTTACTATTTTATTTTACATAATTTTCTTTTTTATAAAATAGTATAAAAGTATATAATTTTGTTTTTAAAAATATATGGATGTGGGGATGGGGCGGGTGCGAAGTGGGGCGGGTGGGGCGGGGCGGGTACAACCTAAAATCCACCCCCGCCCCATCACCCATGGGCCATGGCGGGTATGGTTTTTATCCCCATCCCCGCCCCATCACCCGCCAAACCAAGATCCATCCCCGCCCCAACGGGATGGGGATGGGGCGGGTCTCCTATTTGACCCGCCTCACTGACATCTCTAGTGGGGTGTACGTGAACTCAGTTAATTATTACAATAGTTAATTGAGGAATTCACTATATATTGATCATAACAATTGGGCTAGTAGTATTTTAAAATAACAATAGTTAATTAACAAATTTTGAACTTGTAGAATTAAATGTCTTAAGAAAGATCCATATCATACTAATAGTCTAATACTATGATTTAACATGTACTCCGCATCAATTATAATATCACAACGCCATTTGTTTGATACTGTAGATAAGTACATAGAAAGTTCATCATAAGAGTATTTATTAAATACCCCCGTAGTGTACTAAACTAAAACTACTAATGTTAATTTGTATGCAAAGGATGGTCCAGTTTATAGTCTTGGACTAGTCATTGTAATGTTTATAGAGTCATTATTATGTATCGATATACGTGAGTATGTTTCTGAAGTGAAAATCAAATCATCCTCAAAAACTGTTTCATGATTAATATTCAAATGATTAATCACCTCCGAAAGTTTAAACAAAGTGCACTCAACTTCTAATCACTCACTACGAGTAGTACTATTTTAATCAAATGGGAGTATAATACGAGAAAAGTTTGGCGCAAATTTGCTTAAACTGAAAAGGAGGTTAATCATAAAGCGGTCGCGACCGATAGTGTGCACAATCAGAGTTTCACTTTGTTGGGTTTCTAAGTTGTGAATCACATTTCAACCTTAGATCAATATCAGAGTGAAGAATATTATTCACTTTTTGTACATTAATATGCCCCTTTTAAACTAAACTAGTTGGGTAAAAATTAATATAATCCTACATTTGACCACCACCATCAAGCAACTTGTAAACATTTTACTTTTTAATAAAGAATAAGAATTCAAACGTAATCAACAAAAAGAGCGAAGGGTGTAACTTAATAATTAGTATTAATAATGTATACATGGAGATAAAAATAAATAAATGAATGAATGATTTGGCAAGATATAAGTTGATACAATACAAGCAAAGTGTACATATATAAACATAACCTACCAACCCCCCCCCCCCCCCCCCCCCCCATTCATGATAAAAAACATCTTAATTTCTTTGAAATTCTCTAGAAGTGAGGGTTATAATCCATGCATCTGGATCATTATTAGGGCTTTCGGATCCAAAAAAAATAAGTAATCAAATGCTATAGTTCATGCTTTCAGACCCAAAAAAGTAAAGGCTATAGTTCATGCTTTCGGACCATTTTCGAAAACTTCTAAACCAGTTGTCAAAAACTAAAGTGATCGTAGGGGATATATCTCAAGGTCAGTTAAGTTAATTGGAAACATATACGCTCCCTGATTAGTCACATAAATGTCCATGGTGAACTTGAGAGTTTCGGAAATGAAAGACATATAAGTTAAGTAATTTGACAAATAGTGATCATAACTTAAGAGATAACCCTAAATTAAGCTAATTTGTACGCCAAAACTACAAAGTACAATAACTTTCAAATTTTCAATATTGGTGTGTTGTGGGAAAATTCTGCACTAATACTAGATTGTATATCAAGTACATAAATGCCGTACAATTTATGACCTAATTTATAATGCTCGTACTGAAAAGCTATGGCAAATTGGCAATAGAAGAAGTACTTATACATATAACATATATAGTGCGGATTATTCTACTACGTATGTTGATTAAGAAGTAATGTATTTGTACAATATACACAAGTAAAGTATTAATATAGGTAGATAAGCAGTATATATAGTTGGTATATAGGTCCAAGTGACCAAGTTGATTAATTAAATAAAAGGCTTAAAATAGAAGAAAAGAATCTTAAAAAGGGAAGGCGGAGAAGTGGAATGGCAACTTTAAAGAAGAGGGAGTTTCATGCGCATAGACAGAGGAGGTATAATAATCATGGGGTTCTCCTAAAACTCGAGAATTATGTAGCTACAATTCAAGAACGTTAACGATGGTATGCTATTTCGTAATTGGTAGGCTACCTCAATAATGTGTTTTCTTTTCTTTCACTAAAGGTGTTGCGCTAGTCGGTGCTCCGTGCACGGGTTTTATTCCAACAATATAATATGCAACTTACCTACCTTTAGTGTATGTACCAATTGAGGACAAATTGTGTTAGCTTGTTTAAGATACAAATTAAATTTAAAAGTAGATATTTACCAAGTGTATTACAAGATTGAGGACCATGACCATAGTAGTTGATCCAAAATGGTCGTTGGGATGCGTTCCAAAGTTCCCATGAATGCATGCCGTTGACTAAGTTCGTTCATGATAACAGCATCATCTATGTGGTCTGCCGAAGTTCACCGGCCTTATGGGTATAAGAGTATTCCACTATTATTCTTTCTACTGTATTCTTCAGCTTTAACACCTTTTATTTTTCAGTATTAAATACGCTATATTATATGATCTCCTTTTTCTAGCTTTAGCAACATTATTGGATGAGCAAGGATTCCAAAAATTTAATTGGATATTGCGGTCTAATGATCTAATCTATCCTACTTGTACTGTGTTTTTTTAGGATTTCTAATGCACCATGTTAGATTTCCTATTTTTAATTTTTGAATAAAGAAAGTAAAGAAACTTTATCCGCAAAGAGAAATAAATATTTCATAACTATTTAAGTGTAAGATACATCTTATTTTAAGCATATACGAGCCTTATTTTATAAATACTTGTAAGAACTTGTACTCCTAATATTTAGATCTAACATCTTCCACGTTTTTTTTAGTCTAAGCTCAATCAAAAATATTTTAGCTGAAAAGCGTATTCATTATTTTTAGACAAGGAGCGGTCGAGGAGAGGATCCCATCAAGATAAACAATGAATTACGAGTATATCATATAGAGTATCATATGCACGCTTGGTAATCCTAAGTGTAGATTAATTATAATTTATGTGCCCCGTAGATATAAGAACACTTTTATCCAGATAATAAGATTAGGTACAATGTACAATAGTCAAATACGTCTAAGGCTTGCTTATTATCTACAGAGTACTTCGTTTGTCAACAGTGCAAACAAGAAATAATAATTGAACATATCCAACATGCCAAAAAGGAAAAAATAAAAAACAACACTAAGCTAACAGAGAGAAGAGATTGGGGAAAGTTAAAGATTGTTCTAAAAATTCTGCATTCTGCGGCAGGGAAGAACTGAAGAAAGAGTTGCAGTGAAAACAAATAAAAGCAGAAAATATGAGAGGAATATCTTAAATAGATAGGGCATGCTATCGGTATTGGTATTTTGGTTAGCTCCAAACCTCGGAACACAACGAGCAAAATACTTGCGTAATGTAATTTGGGTATAGCTAGCATGCTTGCTGCCTTTAATACAAATAATAAATAAATTATATACACAAGAGAATTAGGAGCTGAGGGAATCTTAATTGATAACCCACTAACTAAACTTGCATGGTCAGCATCTGAAGACACCGTACCATTCTCTTATTCTCATACATTAATTAATTTACCATTACTAAATCATCACAAGGTTTTCCCCAAAATACCTTTGATTCTCATACAGAATATGACATGTAAAGTAACTAGGCTCTCTTTCCTTGCATTGGTCATTTGCGAAAAGGGATTCAATCAACAACAAACATCAGAATTTGGAACCACATTTTAATAATAGTAATATATTTTGCGAAACATCTTGTCATATTGTATGTTTAATTTGTATGTTCTGTGTCCATGCCCATAGTTTATCCTATACCTAATCTACAACTCATTCACCAATTTTTTTTATTAGGCCCGTTCCTCTTTCTTTTATTTATTTCATCACTTTAATAACAATTCTCATTACATTGAAATTTTTCAATAATGCCAAAAAAACATAGGAAAACAGAATAAATTGTCTAATATAAGGAACTTGTATTAATTTAGGTTATTGTATATGCAAATGTATA